TACATGCATGCATACATACTTACATGCATACATGCATACTTACATGCATACGTACCTACATATTCACACAGGGCTGAGGGCACACAGCAAATAAATAGCGTGGTTGGTAGAAGTGGCTCCGCACGTAACTTTGATGGCCTGCGGTGCACTCCGACTCATAAGTTGGTCTGATGCATGAACCATGTGCACGTACACATGTATGTATGTATGTATACACATACATATATATATATATGCGGAGGTGTTTGCAGTTCTGGGTTCTCATATCGCAGCATCCACTCTAAGAGCCACGTAGGGACAGATTGCTATAATTTGATCCGCACAAACTGGTCGCCTCAGATGTGAGTGAGAAGAATTCCACTTGCTTGGGCAATCTTTGTGCTAGTGTCTAGAAACTCAGCCACACAAAGACTGTTATAAGGTAACAACATCGTCGTAGACTCCGGGAGATCTTGACATGTCTACCAGCAGTTTGATACAATGACAAGGTGCCAGGAATGCGTTGAGCCAGTTGAGCCAAAAGATGTGTCGATATGGCAAACAACGGTGTGGTCTAGCGGAAGTTTGATCCCGGAATAGGCAACTCAGCGACTGTGGAAGAATGCCGAGATGGGACACCTAAGGGTCTTGCTGCTGGAATGATGTCTACCAATCCGGTTTCGGTTTGAGGGCGCCGCAAGTTGCCGCTGTCCGATCTTAACACCACCATGTATGTGCGTGTATATATTTATACATATATGTATATACACATGTGTATATATATATATATGTCTGTATATATATATATATCTGTATATATATATGTATATATATATATGCATATATGTATATGTATATGTGTGTGTTTATATATATATATAATATGCGTTCAGTAAGTATCCTAAGTAAGTCCAAGGATCCTAGACTACTGACAAGTCCCCTGAGCTTTGGAGTAGCTGGGACGTCTCAGGAGTTACTACACTCTTGGCCAAAGCGCCCCTGAAAGAGCTTCAATGCTGTCATACAGGGACCCTCGAAAAGAGAATAGGGCTTTGGGGACAACTACCCTAACCCTAAACCCTAAACCCTAAACCCCATGCCTGTAATGCCCTCAGAAATTATTCAGGCCCTCTTGAGTCTGTCAAGCTTGCCGGGCTTGAGGAGTTGATGGCGTTTAGGGCTTTTGGGGCTGTGGGGGAGGGTTAAAGACTTGAACGAAGGGTCTGGGGCTTAGGGTATCAGTAATTTTAAATACTAATGGTAGATGATACACGTACGTAGATACATACCGTCATACTTACATACAGATGGGTTCTGCATTTTGGGACGCTTAATTGAGGGAGCGTTTTTGGAGTCTCGATACAGCAGAAACTCGAAAGGTGGAGCGCGGAATCGAAAGAGAACTCCAGAATCCAAAGAGAAGAAGCGATGTTCCAAACCATGAGCCATAAAAACTAAACCCTATATCCCTAGCCCAGCCCTAAACCTACAAACCGATAACCCTAAACCCTATACCCCTAAACCCTAAATCCGAAACCCAGAACCTGAGATCCATGTAGGCAGGTAGGTAGGTAGGTAGGTAGGTAGGTAGGTAGGTAGGTAGGCAGGCAGGTAGGTAGGTAGGTAGGTAGGAGGTCGGTAGGTAGGTTGGTAGGTAGGTCGGTAGGTAGGTAGGTGCCTACCCACCTACTTACCTACCTACCTACCTACCTACCTACCTACCTACCTACCTACCTACCTACCTACCTACCTACCTACCTACCTTCCAACCACCTGCCTACCTACCGACCTACCTACCTACCTACCTACCTGCCTGCCTACCTACCTACCTACCTACCAACCTACCTACCTACCTACCTACCTACCTACCTACTTACCTACCTCCCTACCTACCTACCTCTACCTCTACCTCTACCTCTACCTCTACCTCTACCTCTACCTCTACCTCTACCTCTACCTCTACCTCTACCTCTAGCTCTACCTCTACCTCTACCTCTACCTCTACCTCTACCTACCTACCTACCTNNTACCTACCTACCTACCTACCTAGCAGAAACAAAAAAAATCACTCCAACATCCGCTTGCCGGCCGACAGCCTTTTTCGTGCAGCACCCACACTACTGCACCGCCCCCCACCACTACTGAGGGCACCATGGCAGTATCAAACAGCACGTGGACTGTGCTTTTTTCAGGAGTCGGTTCAGCGATTGCTGCGCTTGCACAGGAGCCGAACGGAATCGAAAGTCAGTCCTTAAACACCGACTGACTTTCAGGAGCCACTCCAAGCCCTGGCCATGGATTTCCACTCAGCTGCACAAGGCGGCAAGGGAGGTGTGCCGTGCATAACCAGCTTGGACCCAAGACTGATACCTGCGCTGAAGGTGCTGGGTCCCAGGGATCCGGACCTGGACAGGCAAGGCCTTGCACGACTAGCACATCATCCGTGTGCACCTGAAGATGCAGGAGGATACTCGAAACATCCGTGCTGGTGCAGTTTCTGCCTTCCAAGGCTCGCGCTGGTGATTTGTGGTGATCTGACACGTACGGTGTGCGCTAGACCTCGACAGCGATTAGGATGAACCCTGCGAGCTCGTGAAGCTGACGGGTGTGCCCGAGGAGGCTACAGTTGTTTTAGTGCACTGCCTGACTCGTGAAATGAATGGGGCTACAGGTGGAGCAGTCAACAGAGCATGCTGACAAAGACATCGAGCTTGAGCCTCACAGGCAGGTGACACACATTCGTGCTCAACATGGAGAGGGTCGCTCTAGTTCGTTTTTGGGTCTGTTTGTATGCTTTGTTTGCCTGTGGGCACTGTGTATACTTACTGTGGCCCGGCCAGTGATCTAGTTGTTTTTTGGTATGCCAGGGACTTCGGCTTGGCTTCGTTAGTTGATTCCCATGAATCACAAAGAAGCGTTCCACCGTCGAGATGATCGAGCGCGTGGATTTGTGCCTGCGTCCTTGCCCTTGGACTTGCCGTGAATTCCCCTCACTAGGCCCGAGGCAGTTGCATGAGTCGACTGAGTCGAGTGCCGTCGCGGAGCCATGCGGAGCCTACCGAGAGATAGTCGGATTCGACGTTCAGTTTCTCGCTGACTGCGCTCCGCCCGCCTCTGCCTCGTGCGTATCGGCTTGCAATGGCATCTGTTGGGTTCTATTGTGGGAGTCTCTGTGCACATGCATGCGTCTTCTTGATCATGACATGCCTTGTCTTCTCGCGGGACGTACGAGTTTCTTCAGGTTTTCATGTCCACAGGGCATAGGGGTCTGTTCGAACAATCAGACGAGAAGCTTGCTTGCAGTGTCTAGACTCCTTGGAGGCATCCGGAAGTTCGCGGCGCGCGTGAATCCCGTGATGCTGGTAGAAGGTGTGTTTCGTGATGTCAGCGTGTCTCAGCAGATGTGCGTGCTGACGGTCAGGAGTGGGGATCGAGGCAGGGGAATGTTGAACTCAGCGGAGAGAACTGCTCCACCCACAGATGCTGCTGATGCTCCTGTTCAGGACGCGAAGAAGCCCTTCCACGGCCTCTTCCTCGAAGAGTGCAGACCCCAGTCCTGTGCATGCATTTATTGTACATCAGCTCTTTTGTCCACCTCTGCAGGCTGAATCCAGAAATCCAACTAGACTGCGCGAAGGCAGAGGCTGTCCAGTCGACAGGTGGCTTAATGTGGTTTTCGGGTCTGGCGGGGGCGCCACCTTGCAGGCCATAGACCTCGGCTGCTTCTGCGTGAGCACCGCCGAGAAAGAAGGAGACTTGTCACGTGTCACTTTCTACTAAGCACCACGAGCGACTCAAACTTTGGGGCTGTAGTTTCGTAGCCATGGCTGGTGCTGCATGGCTTTCTTGACAAAGGCACTTGGATCAATAGGAGGCAAGCTGCGGCTTTCATGATACACTTCTGTCAAGGAAGCCGGTATTCGGCCCCTTGCAGGTGGTTCCGATGGCACCGTATTCACGGAATGCCGATTTTGATTTGTTTGCTGGTGCAGGCCCTTTGCAGCTGCTTGATATGGCAAGCCCCTGTCGTAGCCGCTGCAACTGGACTGACACCAACGTTACTGAGGTCATTCTCTGCCGAGTCGTCAGTCCCGTTAGGGGAGCCTTTCTGGTCTTTCTGACATACCCCGGGTGCACAAAGTGCGTGCGTATATCCATGCCGGTGCTACCGCCAATAGCGTGTTTGCCAAGCTTGGGTTGCCTTGCTGCGTAGGAAAGAAGTCGCTGTCTACACCATGACATGCACGATTTGTGTGCGCTTAGGCATCAACTGAGTTGCAGGGTCCAAAGTCCAGTCCAGACTGTTGAGGAGTTCTGCACCACCTGCACGACGAAGAGGTGAAGATAGGGGTTCTGGCAGGTGGGCAGACTGCTCGGGGTTTTGGAGCTGTCCCACGCTGCTGTGTTTGCAGAAGGTCCAGGTCTCAGCGAATCCTTAAATTTGGGATTCACGTCGCGCCCGTCCGCAGGAGGCAGGATGTGCGTCAGACTGCCAGGCCGGTCACGGCTCCTGGGAACGGGTTGCCTTGTGGAGTTTTGATGCATCTTATCTCGCAGGCATGATGAGCGGCGAAGACGCTCAGAGCAGCGTCGTGGGACGGACACTAGCAGGAGGCACACCGATGAGCGGACCCGGAGCCGCCACCACGGCCGACCGTCTGCGGATCTCGATGCCAGACGCGAGGTGCGGGATGTGACATGTCCCGGAAAAAGCCGTCCGGCAGTGCTTCTGGCGAGGATCGGCGTGGCGATGTGCGCGGCAGGCACGCACATGCACCGGAACCGTTTAGCAAACCGGTGCGTCTGCAGCTAGAGACTCAGACGCTTTGGGGCAAGGCCCAGGCAATCTTCCAGAACAAGGGAGGCAGACGATTGCATCTGTGTCTGCAAGCCACGTCTCGCACAAAGCCAGTCGATGGCCTGAAGGTCTTGTCTCGGCGACGAGGAGGTGAAGGTGAGCTCTGCAGCTCCGTTTCTCAGATCTGTGGGTGGCATCTATGGACAGGATTTCGCGCAAGCAGCACAAACCACCACCGAGATGTGGAAAGGAGCTCGAACTGTGCAAATCTCATGCTCGCTTTTGTCCCAGTAGCCTTTTGCCCCAAGCTTTAGCCGCAGTTGTGCAGACTTGTTATGTCAGAATTGAAAAACGACACGGACAAAAGCTTGAAGTCTGCATTGTTGAAATGAATCAGGAGGAGATCCTCTGGTGAAACCAACGGGACGAGGCCTGTTGTCAGCCTTGAAGCATCAAGTAATCAATAGTTTGTCTCGTCCAGGTTCCTGGCACGCAGCAGGCGGCTCTCAGAATTTCACCGCAGAGAGGTGCTGACGAAAGTTCTCCACTTGAGCGAGTTGCTGCAGATCGCGGCGCAGAGAAAGGGAGAACGGCGCAAAGGACACGCCTGCCTCGCTTCGGGAGGTCGAGGGCGTCATGGCCACACTTCCCGAAGATCTGCTTGTTTTATCTAGGCCGCCATCTATCCCCTGGGCACGAAGGGCCTCAGGGATGCAGGCTTCGCAAAACTTCCTCCTTCAGTTCAATGCTAGTCAGCATGTCGGAGAGGTACATACAACGATGTTGCTGGCATCTGGAAGGACGTGAAGGGAGACCATAAGTCAGTGCAAGTGTGCCCGAAAGCTGTGTTCAAGAATGGCAGCCAGACGCCAGCGTGACGTGACTGGGCAGACACGTTCGGAAGTCCTCGTAGGACCCCCCGACCGAAGAGACTGAGAAGGCTCTGCACGGCAGAAGTGCTGAGCACAAGTGGCAGAATCTGTGCTGTCCGAGGCTTATCCCATCAAAGCTCCGAAGCCTTCCATGCGACCGTTGCTGAACCTGTGAGAAGAGAAGGCTCGACGAACTCAGATCGAACGAATCACCACACCACCGAAGCTTTGATCATTGCTCCTTCGCATCTTTTCTTTGGGTTGTGCCAGGGTTCGCTTGTGGAGCCCGTGCAGACTCGATGGTGCGGGTCTCAGCACAGCTGACGCTGACGAGAGCCTCGCCGCGTATCGTGTGAGCCATGTTTAGACAACCCAGGTGCGGACGACGCGGTGAAGGAGTGGAATCAGTGCGATCAGTAGATGTTCAAGAAGGTGTGAGCTGCCCGGTTCTGCTGTGCCCGCATCTGGAAGCGAAGAAGATGCTGGCAACACCTGGCAACGGAGGCTGTGCTGCCGTGTGAAAACAGTTCCAGCTGTGCTAACATGTACCTGCTAAAGGTAATACCGAGAGAAGCGATGTGTAGGAAAACAAGATTGTCGAGTGGCAACGTGTCACAGTGCCAATGGCACGCGATGTTCGCAGTGTGCTCCATAGAACGCTTGTTTGTGTGGTGTCTTGACTCAGCCACTTGCTGGCTCGGGGGTAAGTGCAAGCCGGTCACTTGGGGCTGGTTGGGCGATGGCCTGAGACTACCTGACTTCATTGGCGACTGCTGTGGCCAGGATTCGCTTTTCTTGGATTCTGGAGGTGGTGCCGTAGTCATGCCGTATGAAGAAGATGGCGAGCAGATGGCTCAGTGCAGCTGCATAGATACAGTACCGAAGAACTTGAATAGTTTGTTCATGCTGTTTCGCACCTCTCTACCCGACTGCTCCATGCTGTGCTGAGGTCGTGGGACCTCAACTACAGCCAACATGTGGACGGAATGGCTGAGAACAGGCTGATGGGATGGTGCTCTCTCGCAGAATGTGAAACGGTATGGAGCTTTCGTCGTCGCAGAAAGAGTGAAGGCCTGGGCACAAGAAGTTCGATGCCTATAGACTACCAAAGTGGGCTCGGCGCCAAAGGGCCATCTTGAGGCTTTCGCGTCCCACGTACTGGTGACCTGAGGTAAAGCATCCTTTGTCGCATCCCTTCAGTGGCATTACCATCGGAGTACAGTTCTTAGACATTTGCGGGATTTTGCGAAGTCTCCTCCCGCTCGGAAGCGGCTTGCGAGCTGTGACACTGAAGCTCAAGAGACCTGGCTTCCAAAAGTGTTTCTTTTGAACTATCGATTTGGTACCTTGTTTTGCCTCAGCCCGACGCCTACGCCTATGCCTGCCTCAACGGCACGCTAGAGCCTCGGTCAACTGCGTGGGTAGTGCCGGCAAACATGCAGCATGCTCCTGTCAACCTGCCTCTCGCACACTTTTCAACCACAGAGTTCCTTACTGAATTAAATGCTCAGCCCAGACACTGTCTAGCACTGTACTCTAAACACCACCATCACCATCATCATCACCATCATCATCATCATCCTCATCATCCTCACTATCTTCATCCTCACATCCAGCTGTGCGACGGGGTTTTGCTGTGCCTTCGCTTCCATCTCCCTCACTCGTTCTGCGGGGAAGCTCAAAAACAAGCACCCCAAGTAAAAGGAGTGTATATGCGAAGCTCCCCACCTTCCAGGCTGGATGGATTGACAAATTTCCTGGGCTGGGGCCCGGCCCACATTGACGCTCGGACTTGCAATGCCTTCGGCTCTTCGGCGTTCCGACTGAGTACACCTGGCAACTCGATTCAGGCCTGCATGTATGGAAACATGGAGATGTTGCAGGCTCGAATCTGGGACTTGTTGCTGCTTGGTGATAAAGTGACGATGCAGGCCTGCACCGAGCAAGAACTCAGTGCACAAACATTCAACGGAGAGACGTGCCTTGGTAGAATTCATCTTTCACCTCTGTGCAGCCTGTCGTTTCATGTTTGATGTTTGTGATCCTGCCAGGCCTGCATGGTATGCCGTCCGGTATGGAACATCGTGGTGTGGAGCTGAAAGGGAGTGCGAAACTTTGGCAAGATGGTTTGGGTTCTGCAGAGGCCACAATGCCTCGTGTGCTGCCATGTCAGGTGCTTGCAGTGGCTCGTGGAGCATGGCGCGGACACGACAACCCCGGACCTGAACGGCTATACACCACAGCAGCTATCCGACGAAGCAATAAACAGCTAGATGTAAATGGTGACACCTTGTTCTCGCCATGCGTGTCTTGTCAGGTTGATCCATGTCAACAACCGCAACGATGGCCAGGAAATGGAATGGCTGGAGGCCTTTCGTTTGTTTCGCGCACTGCACGTGTCGAGCCTGCTTGAAGCTCCGGGCATCGAGGCTGCGATCAAGGGCGAGCTCACTGAGAAGAAGAATCAGCAAGCACAGGCACTTCCTGGACTGAGAGTCGCACGTCGGATCAGCCCGTGGTCTGCAGGAGTTCAAACTCAAGAAGTGGCGATTTGAAGGTGTGTGTCGCACAAAGCAGACGTCCTACCCAGCTTGTTCCTATGGCCAGGTTTGGACTCCTACGCCGAGGATTGGTTGGACAAGAACAAAGCAAAGCAGCGGAAGCACCTGCTGCCCACTTGCACATCAAGATGTTTAGACTCAGTGCGCCCCCTGGCTGTACCTGCGCCGAGGTACAAAACCGGCGACTTTCCTGATCCGTATCCTTTGCCGACTGCAGAGGCAGGTAGCTAAAAATCCTGGAGTTTTTTCAAATCAGAACGGTGATGGTTGAACATGAGCCCTGCGCCGCTGTTGGTCCAGGAACTTTGGGCAAAAATGGATCTGTGGCTTGCCGGAGATTGTGATTGGCATCTTTCTTTCTGAAACTCCCCCGTCTCCGTTGATCCATCCAGTGCAAAGGCCACGTTCGACGATTCCGCGTCCTCCTGCCAAGAGCAAGCCGCCGCTTCCTATAGCAATGCTCTTCCCTGGGCAGGCATCCACTGCATATTGACTGGGCACAAAAACTTGAGACGACCCATGCAGGGCTCGCAGTACGTCGGCATGCTAAAGTCCTGCCTGGACATCCCCGCCGTGGAGAAGATGCATTGCCCCAAGCACACTGTCGTTCTTTGCTTGATCTGTTGCTGTTGCTGCCGCTGCTGCTGCAGAAAGTGGTGCTGGTACGAAATCATGGTGTTCCTAATCTATTGCAAGCAAGCAGCTGGTGCTATAGTCTGAGGTTGGAGAAGGCAGAAAGCATCCTTGGCTGGAGTGTCAAGAAGTTCTGTTTGGAGGGACCCGCGGTGCCTTGGTGCATTACGGCGTCGTTGTGTGACGTTGCAAGATAGTGCAGCCGGCAGGAGCAGATCGAGCAGACAAAATATTGCCAGCCTATCATGCTGCTCCCTCAGAGCAAACTGCAGCAGCTGCTGCCCAACAGTTCTTGCTGTCAGGTTTGTTGCCGGTGTTGCTGGGATCGAACTTATGAAGCAGACGTCACCCGCTTGGTTGCATCCTTCACGAGCTGTTCCATAGTCTGCAGATGTCCTGCGCTGCGTAAGACTCAGGAAGCGCGAAATGGTGGACCGAGTGCAGGCCAGGATGCCTTGCGCTTGTGGCCTTGCAGCTTCGGAGCTGTCCTTACTCATCCTGACTCCTCTTCTCGTACCTTCCATGCCCTTTCCAGGCCGTGGCTGGCTTGAGTCTCGGGGAGTACACCGCGCTCTGCTCCCCGCTTAGCTTAGTACAGTGCTTGAGCTTCGTCTGGTGCTCGTCCCTACGCTTCTGTTGTTTCGAGGCGCTGCCGGAGTGCTGGAGTTCGAAGACGGCCCGTGGCCGTGGCGTGGCCGTGGCGTTCCGAGAGACACTGGAGAGCTGCCCGAGGCCTGCAGCTGGTGAAGCTGCGAGCGGAGGCCATGCAAAAGGCGACGGAGATGGTGCCGCCTCGGCCTCGGATGGCCTTCTGAGGGTGCCGACATTGGAAACCATGGATCCCTGTCTTCCCTGTATTCCCTGTCATGAGGCAAGCCATGTGCTCGGTCGCCGGTCTGGACAGGAACACCGTGGACCGCCTCTGCCGGAGTCTCGGAGGCTGTTCGCCGGCCGGAACGACTCGAGATTTCCCCAAGGCAAGGAAGCCAAAGACCTGGACACCAGCTCGCCGACGCCGGTGTGCCGGGGACCCGGACGCTATCGGCTCTCATCGTTTCCCTGACCCCACATGGACTGCCACGACTGCGACAGCAAAGTTTACCCGAGGTCAGGTCGCCAACGTGCTGTTTCCAGCGGGCTTCACTTGCGGTGGCACGAAGCCTGCCATTGAAAAGCTCTGTGAGCTAGCAATGAAGGCAGCTCCAAGAAGTGGCAACCACCAGCAGTGAATGCCGTCGGTTTGGCTGCGCGCATCGTCGCAGGCACGAGCTCTGCAAGCTCGGGCAGTCAAGGCCATGGGGCGCAGTTTTGAAGCTGCCGACGAGTGACTCTCTCACTGTCTCTCTTCTCTCTCTGGGTTCTGCTGTGTCTGCCATCTGCCTGAATGTGTCCTGCTGCTTGGTGGTTTCTTTTGCAAGCCCCTTGTGTGCCAGACGGGCGGTGGCTTCCACACGCCTCTGATGCAGCCGGCTCAAGAGGACGGCATGGCATGGTCCCTGCGGGATCTTCTCTAAGGCCTACTCTCTGGCGATCCGCACATCCGAACCTTGCGAGCCGTGACCGCTCTGCGAGGAGTTGTCGAAGGCGATCGATTCCATGCTCCCGAAG